TTTGATTTCTTAAGACAGACTCCCAGAAGAATTACTGGGTCAAAGGGTACAGATGTTTTAAGTTCTTGGGATATGATGCCAATTTGTTTTTCAGCAGGTCCACATCCATTTTCACTACCCGGCAGCATGTGACAGAGCCCACACGACACGCCCAGAGTGAGGCAAGTGGCCAGAAGCCTAAGAGTGGGGCCGCTGATGGATACATTCAGCAGCCTGTGCAGCTGTCAGAGCAAGTGCCAACCCTCTCCTCTCTTTCACCTGCATCTCTCTCCCTCAGTTCTTAAAACACAGACTCATCAGGGGCTCCAGTTTGTGCAACTTCTGAGCTAATCCCACAGAGTAAAGTACACACCAGTGTCCACTGTCACTAAATCTACAGGACACAAAAAGAGGTCCTGCTCCCAGTGGAGTGCTGGTAAATGTTTAACACCCAGCAAACCAAGGGGAAAAACACCCCTATTTGTAGCATTTGCCACTTCCTGTGGTGTAAATACTCTCATCACAGCTGGTTTCTAGCTAACAACTTACCAGCATAATGTCACAGAACTTGGAACTGGACAGACATGTGCATAACAGGCTCTTGTAAGCCAGTGGAGCCAGCCTCAGACATCACTGCCTGTTTGTCTCTGGTCCACTGAATTTTTCTCTCTTCTCCTCCACACTTGACTCCCCACCCCATATGGATTCTCCTCCACATCTGACCACACACAGGATCCAGAATAGCAGAGACCTGCTCTGGGTGCTCCCACATCCCTGAGCCACAATACTGTCACACTCATATGACACTTGGGCTTCAGCTTGATTCACTAGAGAGGTCAGTGGGATTGAAATGCCAAGTACCATCGCCCACAGACAACTTAACCCTGTGGCATCAACTCAGGCTGCCCTGCTGTGCAGCTGTTCCCCCTCCTCCAGCCTCTCTGTTCTCACTACAGAGTCTTAGACTCTCTTACCTCACACCCCTGCTTGCTGGCTCCTCACCTTCCACTCCACTTTGAGATTTACCAAGCTCCTGGCCTTTCCTTTGCCTCCAGTTTCCCAGCCAGCATTTACCCCAGGGATCTGATGACAAATTCCATTTTCGTATGAGTGAACAAAATTGGGTGAGATTTTAAAATTACTCTTTTTCTCTCTGGCTATCCCAGAAACCCTCTTTGCCAGCCCCCCAAACTCCCATGAACATATATTCACCCATGGAGGATTGAATAGACCTTCCACTCTGTGAGTGAGTGGGCCCTGGTACCCTGCCAGCCCCTCAACCCCAGGACCAGATACTATTCACTGCATCCTTCACTGAGTATGGTCAGAGATTCTTTACTTCCAGACTTGAGACTATCAGATGCCCAAACTGAACTCTTGGTTGGAACACCTTGCTGTGTGTCCATCCATCTGACTCGATCACCCATGACGTCTATTCCAAAATTACAACTGGGAATCACTCTGGCCCCTTAAGAAATCCCAGCTGTCAACCAAGCCGTGTCCTGCGGGACAAGTGGAGCCTGCCATTCCTAGGGTCAGGAATCTCCATGAGAAAGCACCCCCCCCACTGCATACATACAATGTTGTCCTGAGTGCGGTTATCTGTCCCTACTGCTTCCTTTCCTTCCCACAGCCAGTAGGGACAGCCTTATCGTTCTCTTGTGTCAGTCTCAGCTGGGAAGACGAAGCTGGGATTGCAGAAGAGGGCAGAAGCGAAAAATGCAAAAGGAAAAGGAGAAAATGCTATGGCCAAATGGAAAGGAACCATCGAAGGTACGGGGATGATGGAATGTGCTATGGTCTCCAGCATTCCATTGGGAGTTGCGGACCCTAAAGAACATAAATGATGTCTTTCACCTAAAAACAGAGAAATCAGCGGATCACTTTTAAGATCCCTACCAGGATCTTAAGATTCCTTTCCAGCTAAGAGCATTGTTGCCCCATCCAAACACATGTACGAAATAGTTAACAGCAATATTCTTGAGTTGAATCAGGGAGGATGCCTCACAGTGTTAAACAGGGAAGCATATGGATCCCCATATTTTTTACCAAAGGCAATCTATTCTAAGCCTGGGCTCAATCTGGAAGTTACTCTTCCCCCAAAATGAGTCGAGCTCAAACACCTTCACCGTATCACAGCATAGGGCACTGTGGTGAATATGGGGCAGCCGGCAGGGGATAGGCAGAAAGAAACAGAAAGCCAGGATCATTCAAATCCAAATCCCATGGAAAGCAAAGCTGAGAGTCGGGATTTGACTGGTCAGATTACAGGAAACCCTTTCCTATGTATCCCAGGTAAAGATTATTCACTTCAAGAAACCTAGAGGATTTACTTAAACAGAGACAGACAACTTTCTGTGGTTAGTAAGGAGGACCTGATGCAAGGAACACCATATCCCAACCAGAACCACTGGAAGAACAAGTACATCTTGTTCATCCCGTGCACAAAACACAGGAGAAAAAAATAGCATAACGTGGAAAAAGAAAAATACAGAGTAAATCATAATAAAAAGGACCCCCTCCTCCTCCTCACCCCAGCCACACATGGTTTGGTTAATTCCTTAATGAGGATGGAGTGTAATTAATATCAGAACTCCACAGTATAATTACTGCATATAATTATGCTCGAGTTAACTGTAAAGCAAATCATATATAGTTTGCATTCGATAGTGTAAGTTTTCAATTCATCTTTTTGGGAGGAAGCTGGGGGGGATTTTATAATATTCTTCAATAGAAAACACCTCTGGGAATAGATACATCAGACGAATGCCTTTGGACATTTCATTCTAGACTGTGATGCCCAGAATTGCCTAATCTAGCAGCTGCACAACCTACAGAATTCTGCCTTTAAAGGCTTATTCCTGCCTGGTAGACCAGCCCAGGGAAGGAGCTCACAGGGACACATAAGTGACAACGGGCTAATCCGAACCTGCCTCAGAATTAAGGTCCCCTCATGGTGGCCCGGCTGCTGAGCTCTTGTGTGGCCTCTGCAGGCTGTGTCTGTGTATCCCTGGCCCTTCACCTCAAAAGCGTGCATGTCCTCAACCTGTGTGTTTCTCTGCTGTCCCAGGCTTTCCACCCCTCCCCAAGGACCCGAATGCTCTTTCCACTCCCTTCCTGGTTCTCTGCGTATAATCCATTACATTCAATAGAGAAAGGAATACAGCCCTCCAACTGCTCTAAAATGCAAACCACATGTGGTTAATGAAACTGGGCCTCTGTATGATGCACTTTGTGTTTTGTGCAAGTGAATGAGAGAGAGAGAGATGAAGAGATCTGAAAGGTGGTCCATAGAAGAATCCTAGAGAATCTGGGCTGGAGCGAGTTAGCCAAATTGCAGGAGACATTTTTCCTGGCTCCCACTTTCTTCCCACTAACCGCCCCCACCACGCAGGTGCTTCTTATGTGGGCCCTTTCCACAGTCTTGGAATATCTGCTCACTCTACCAGGTGCTGCTCTCACTCCCAGCACCACCCTCCCCTCACTCTCACATTCCATTCCCTGGAGTGGCTGCAAGAATCTTTTTCAGGAGCATAAGCCTTTATCTCAGGTGCGAAGACTGCTTGAAAGCTAAACTAATTAATTAATGTTGAAGAAACCTCTAATTCGCCCTTATCAACTCAACTGTTGTGGGCCCTTCCTTTCTTTGCCCTCAGACATGCCTCTCCCCTGTCCATCATTGGACTCTTCATCCACGAGCTTTCTTGCCCCACATCCCTCCTTCCACTCCTGGGCTTCCCACAGCACTAGGTCTGAGTGGCTGTGCCTTTAAGCTCAGATGTCCAGACCTGCGTCTTCTGCTGCTGGTCAGGAACCCAAGCAGTGAATTCCTGACACCTTCCCTCTAGCCTCCTCACCTCTAGAACAGGGTCTAAAGATTTGACCTCCTTCAAGAATCTCCCAGGCAAGCAGTGCCCCCTCCCACACCTCAAACTCTGGAGGGAGTCAAGAGGGCTCAGAGGGCAGCCAGGTGCACTGCTCACCTATGCAGCCACCACTCCCTCCCCTCCAGCAGCCCCTAGCACCTCCATAAGGACTTACTAGATCCAGAGAAAGGGACAGAACCATCCCTATATGCCCCGCAGTACCCCCGCCTCCTGTCCCCGCAGTCAGCCTTCAAAGGCCACCCTTAGCCAGAGTAAGTGACACTAAAAACAACGATCCCCCCGCTTCCACATACACCCGCCCCTGCCTGCCCACTGATAATAATGGGCCAAGACACTTTTATTATCATTATTAATTAGCACTTTCAAGCAATGGAATTAAATCAATATGGTGGACTGAAACTAATTTTAACAAGCCATTGAGATCAATCACTGGGACTTTTATCTACATAAATGCCACTAAACTCAGCTCGTTAGTGTAACATTAGCTGGGAAGAAAAAGAAGGGAGACTGGCGGGGTTTTAATTAGGAAGACATAAACCGAGCCACAATTTTTCTTCTTTGATTTGCTTTTAATCTCGTCTGCAAAGCTCTTCTGGTGCTGCCCAGGCTGATTTTCAGTCCCAGGCCACTTGGGCAGAAAGAGGAGGGGAGGAAGTGATGAGAGTTGAGGGGTGAGTGGCCGGGAACACTAAAGATGACCCCTTCCCCAGGGGCACCCCAGCGTGAGTGGGGCCATCGCCCCGCTGACCCTGAGCCCTCAGATCCTCACAGTCAGCGCTAACCACCGCTTCCTTTATAGTCACCTTTGTTTAGCATTTATTCATTTACGCATTACATGCAAATTATTTATGTTTATTGATTCATTCCATGAACAACAGATGAGCACTTAATATGTGCCAGGCACCTGCTCACTGTTCTCTGAGAATTAAAGTTAAAATAAGCAAGATGTGGTTCTACTCCCACAAAAAACCTGCAGTCTAGTCTTATTCACTCCTAGATTGACAGGCTAGAGAGCAAAGACAATGACTCACCTATCTGCATGCCCCTCCCTATCTGGCTCTGTGGAAGCCCGGAAATGCTTGAGGTGTGTGGTTAAGAAACCCCCTTCCCTCCCCACCCTTCATTTCTCTCTGTGCCCAGCACCCTGCTCCCTGCTGCCACACCTTCCCTGTTTCGCTGGTACCCAAACCTACCTACCTCTGGTCTCATAACATTTTTCCAGACTGATTCCCTGACAAGCTGTGGCTTCTTATTCTTCAAGACTCCGTTCTAGGGCCACGATGTGGAAGGAGCTGGGTGGCTGGCTGCCCGGACTTCCTCCTGGCTGCCCATTTCTGCCTGTGGAACAGCCATCCCCACGTGTCGCTGTGGTCTTCTGTCTGGTCCCGCTGGCGTCCTGGACCAAGCTGCAAGCACCTGGAAGGCAGGGACTGAACATGAGCCACATTTCTGTCCTCGACATCTCCTAGGATATCTGGTGCAGAGCTGGCACTCAATTCAGACCTGTAGACAAACATGGCACCATCTATGTTTACCAAAGACTGGGATAAAACCCCAACTCAGCATCTGAGGTTCACCCTGAGGACTGGAGGTTCTCCAAGTACTTCCTCCCTCTGCCGCTCAGTACAGATCACCTCTTCTAGGTGTGCTGTGCACATCCCAACACCCACCTTCTGGCTTTCCACACTTGCTCTGCTTCCTGTGAGTCTCACCTTCCCGAATGCTACTCATGTTTCCAGGCCTATCTCAAGCCTTCCTCATCCCCTAATGCAGACTTCTGTGATTCCATGAGCCTTCCGTGTCCTCTTCTTGCTTGGCCACCCATAGGGGCCTTATCACAAACTACTCTCTGCTGCTAGCTGTATGCTGCACCCTGACTTTCCCTCTGAATCTGGAATTGAAATCTTCGCATGTGGTGCTGCCTATGGGAAGCAAATCAACCCTCAGCAGAGCAGAGTGCCTGGGGTGAAATTCCAGCTCTACTGCTTATTACATTCACCTCCTTGGGTAAGTTGCTTGATTGCTTGACCTTGCTGTATCTCTGTTTACTCACCTGTAACATGGGAACAAAACAGCACCTGCTAGGATTACTACAGAAATTAGATGCAATAGTTCACATAAATCATTGTGCCTGCCACTTAGTAGTTGGTCTGTGTGTTGGTCATTATTACTATCATGGCTGTAATTGTTAACTACTCTTACCAATTCATGTGCTCTGATTTCATCTCCATCAAGCAAGCTATTGATTATAATTTGGCTTCCCTAGAAGAAAAGACCCTGCTGATCTGTCAACAGGAGGTTCAATCTACTTATTAGATGTTTCTCATTATAAATTCATAAATTGACATTCTAGATTGCATGTATTGGTCTCTTATAAGTTAGCTTTAGATTAAATTAATCCATAAGTCCAGTTCACACTTGTGTATACTAGCAATCAAATTTCTGAGGCTGAGGTCCTAGATCTTGGCAACCAAACCAAGGTAGCGCCAACTTGGGGCTTTGTCTGTGCAGCCAGTGTGGCTTCAGGGGCCATATGTCCTTTAGTCTCATTGTTTCACCTCTGTAAGCAAGTTACTGAAAACCTCCAAGCTTCAGTTTCCTCATCTGTAAAACAAGGAAAATAGAAAAACATCTGCATCCAATGGGTGCAGGTAAGGGTTAGACGAACCAATGAATGGAAAGCACCTGACCATTGCCTTCACAGCTGGGTGCTCAGTAAGCATGAACTCTAGGCGCAATTAATTATTCTGCTGCCTCACCATACTTTTTTTATGCTTACAGTTTAAACAATACTTTCTATTCACAAAACCCTTTCATAGGTTTTATCTTACTTCTCATGACAACCACTCCCACCTAATAATAGAGTAGGAACTAGGAACAAACTAAGTCACTTTCTTGAATGGTGGCTGCCAGGGACGGGGGGCAGGGGATGGGGAGATGTTGGTCAAAAGGTACAGAATTTCAGCTAGACAGGTTGAGTAAGTTCTGGAGATCTATCGTACAACATTGTGACTATAGTTAATAATAATATAGTGTATACTTGAAAATCCCTAAGACGGTAGATCTTAAATATTCACACCAAAAAACAAAAATAACTATATGATATGTTAGGTATGTAAATTAGCTTGATTGCAGTAATCATTTTACTATGTACACATGTATTAAAGCAACATGTTATCTATCATAAATATATAAAATTTTTACTTGTCAATTATACCACAATAAAGCCAGAAAAAATTAAAGTAACTTTGTTAAGATCACAGTTTGTAAGTTATGAGACCAGGACTCACGCCCAGCTCTTCCAGGTCTTTTTCCCCGTCTAGTGTCCTCTCTTTATAAAATATCTGACTATTCAATAAATGAACAGCAACAAAACCACTCTGTTTTGTTTAATTACACTTTAAAACTAGTTTGAAATTTTGGCATTACTCTAAAGTCCCTTCCATGTCCTGGCATCTGTGGCCTTGTTAGTCATACTAACAAGCTATGTTACTTCTAGAGGCCCTGGATTTAAAAAAAAATAAAAAAAAAAAAAAAAACCACCTAACCAATTCACTTGCACTATGGTGACTGTGAAATGTGGGCTGTGAATCTGAGAACTGACCAGATTTTCCACATCCTTTGGGCTTTTTCTGGGTGCCTCACCGTGGGGTAATCCATTACTACAGCATCTCCTGATGAACAGCGAGACAGGTTGTGGGAGGACAGAGGAGCCCCAGGCCCAAAGGGAGCATCTGGGTTGCCTCACTTTGTCCTTGCGGCTGCTTGTCTGTCTTGTGTAGTTAGACAAGTTCTCCAGCCACAGAGCTTGGGGGAAAGAAAGTTTACTTCATATTTCATAGTCACAGATCTGGTAGCCTATGTACTGTGAAGTAGCTTAAACTAGAGAATTTCCTTTCTAGAGAGTCCCTACACCTGGCACTCCCCAAAACACATGGTGGATGGTGCAGGCCTTGATGGTAGAATCCTTGAGACAGGTGGGACTGCAGCCCCCCAGTGCTCCAGCAAGCTGTCTAGGCACATAGATCCATGGAAAGTCCCATCATTGCCTTGCAGTTCCAACTTCCATCCCAGCGCTGTATTTTTACTTAGAAACTAGATGTTTCAACTGCCCTCAAGACTCAAGATTTCTTCTTGAACCAAATTTCTCACCATCCCAACCCCTCATCATCTCCCGGCCCCAAACAAAAATGTCCTGACTTCTTAGTGTCTAACAATGAAACCACCATTCTCACGGTCTCTCAGACTCAAGACCTCGCCATTGTGTTTTCAAATTCCTTCACCATAATTCCCTAAATTCAAAAAAATAGGTGTAGATGTAGACTAGGTCGTAGGTATAGACCTCAGTCATGGCTCTTCTCATCTCAGATTTGGAAATCTACAGCAGTTCCCAAATTTGTCTCCTCAACAATAGGGTCCTCCCTGATCAGTTGTTCTAAATCAGGGGATGGCAAACAGATAGTAAATATTTTAGGCTTTGTGTCCGTACTACAAATATTACAGTCTCTGTTGCAACTACTCAGTCAGGTGTTGCAGTATAATAGCAGCCATAGATATAAATGAATGTGTGTGGCTATAGTCTAATAAAGCTTTATTCGCAAAAAGAGGTGGCAGGCTGGATTTGGCCCTGGGGTTGTTATAGGCCAACTTCTGTTCTATACTATTCTCGTATTAATCACCATAGTCCCTATCATTTTGTAGTGTTTGCATAAGTGTAATTAGGTCCAGAAATAAGACACAAACTCCAGTCTATAGCAGACATTGTTGACACCTTGCCTCATAGTCCTTAGTCCACTGTTGAGTTTACCTGTAGCCTCAGGGGACAGCTCCCAGGAACACTGAGAGCTTCTGAGGTATACCCACACTCTCTGTTTCACTGCCTGAGCGCTTTCTCTAATACCTTGGAAACTGCTCAGCTCCTGTGCAGGGCAGGCCAGAAATAACCAGGGATTCAACACCATCAAGAACACCCCTCACCAACAGGAAATGCGAACTGGTGTATACATATTACACTTCTCCATCCCTTAGGAAGACAATTCTACTTTGTAAAAAAATTTTTTGGTTTATTTATTTATTTATTTGAGATGGAGTCTGGCTCTGTCACCCAGGCTTGTGGCACGATCTCAGCTCACTGCAACCTCTGCCTCCCAGGTTCAAGCAATTCTCCTGCCTCAGCCACCTGAGTAACTGGGACTACAGGCACACGCCACCATGCCCGGCTAATTTTTTTGTATTTTTAGTAGAGACGGGGTTTCATCATATTGGCCAGGCTAGTCTCAAACTCCTGACCTCATGATCTGCCCGCCTCGGCCTCCCAAAGTGCTAGGCATGAGCACTTTGAGTCATGCCTAAAGTAGTAAATAAAATAGTTTACTGGCATGAGCACTTTGAGTCATGCCAAAGGAGATTAACATTTGAGTCAGTGGACTGGGAAAGGCAGACCCACTCTCAGTCTGGGTTGGCACCATCTGCTCAGCTGCCACAATGGCCAGAATAAAAGCAGGCAGAAGAACATGGAAAGACTAGACTGCCTAAGTCTTCTGGCCTCTGTCTTTCTTTTGTGCTGGATGCCTCCTGACCTCAAACATCAGACTTCAAGCTCTTCAGCTTTTGGACTCTTGGACCTACACCAGTGGTTTGCCAGGGGCTTTCAGACCTTCGGCCACAGACCGAAGGTTGCACTGCTAGCTTCCCTACTTTTGAGGTTTTGGGACTTGGACTGACTTCCTTGCTCCTCAGCCTGCAGAGAGCCTATTGTGGGGCTTCACCTTGTGATCGTGTGAGTCAACACTCCTTAATAAACTCCCTTTCATATACATATCTATTCTATTAGTCCTGTCCCTAATACAATGTGGTTTTGATGTGAATGGGAAATGGGAGGCCAGGCTTTGGCCTCATGCAAGGTCAAGGAGCTAAACTTACCAAGGCCTCCACATAAATATATGTCTTCATTGAAAGGGCAAACTGAAAAAAGCAGCCTTCTAACAAAGCAAAACTATCTCTGTGGTAGCTCTAGATGGAAATATATATAAATCATCTTCCCTTATAATGTGTAACCTAGATCTGTTCTCACTGGGGCATCAGGAGTCTGAATTTGTATTGCTCTTATGGAAAAAAAAAGCCCATCTGAGAAACTGAAGTCTGTCTGGTTTAATAGTGCTCCCAGTTTCAAACAGAAGCAGATTTTTTGAGGGGGAAAATAAAAACCACAAAATCCTCAAATCAGATCCCACAAATTATGTTCAATCAAACAAGAGCCCAAGTAAAAATTTAAGAAATGAAAAAAGTAACAAGCTAACAGAAGCTAGCATCAGTAGAAATGGCAAACATCAAATTTATGCCCACCAACAGATTTGAATACTGGGTTATCAGAGAATGAATATAACTAATTATGAAATTATTTAAAGAAAAGAGAC